TATTATTTATTGATCAGTGAATAAAAACAGATACAAAAAACAATAATGAGATCCTATGAATCTGATTGTAGTTGTGTAGAATTGAATAGGATGTGTATAGAATTTGAAAACAAACAAAATTTTTGACCAGCAAATTGAGAATTAAGTTGGACTACAATGTGAGAACAGAAAGAGAATTTCGAAAAACTAAACGCGAAGAGAGTGATTAGTATGTGAGAAGTCGAGGGATGGAATATAATCGTCATTTGAGCTGTTGGTCAGATCATCCATGAACTCCTCGAAACTAGCATTGTGATCAGGAACAAGAGAAGAAGCAGAACGAAGGTTCGGATTGTGTGGTGGGAGCATTTCGAGGTGATGGTGACTGGTTCTCGCAGCGAAAGATACAGTTTCAACCACCTGAGAATATGATCCGAAATTCACATTTAACAATTCTCGTTTTACCTCTTGCGGAGTCTTCCCGTATTGTTTCATCAAAGCTTCCAATTGCATTTCAAACGATTGATTCATTGGTAACGGAGGCATCATTGTCGGCGTTGTATTGATAGGCGACGTCGTGGATGAAGACGAAGGCATCATATGAGACAATGAAGTCATCGGATCATGATTCTGATTATGATGATGCTCATATCTCTGCGGAAGACTCGGAACATTGAACAGATAGTGAGATTCAGATGAAGATGATGACGGAATATCATGAGATTCAGAAGGACGTGGTGATGGACGAGGAGTGTGTTCCCGACAAGCAACAACTGCTACACGGAGAGGTGTGAATCTGGAAATATTGCTTATTGTATTTTAACTTTGGGCTTAAACTCACTTGACATGAGTAACATGATTCAATGGTCCTTTATCCGTTATATTAGAAGAAACTCCTCTGACTCTTTTCACATCATTCACTTTGAAGTACTTTTCGATAACACTGGAGACTGGCATGTAATCCAAATTGTATGTGAGAAGATAGTCAATCTGAAATACAAATAAAAGCTTTTTATTATTTTCTATTTTTCATGTTTGGCTCACTTTGGCTGTTTCTGCAATATCCGAAATGTACTCCAAAATGCTTTTCGCCTGAAGCTTCTTCAATTCCAATGGCTCTAGATGAACGATTTCTCCGCGCAGGGTACGGTAGCTCACACAAACACTTCCGCCCAGAATGTAGGTCAATCTGATGACCATGCAGTTGTGGCGGGGTATCAACAAGTTCATAACTGCTTGTGTATCCAAGAATCCATGCATCAAATAGTTTTCCCAAAGAGTTTTGACAGCTGCTTTTGGATCTTGAAATATCTGAAGAACTTCGAGAATTCCCCTCCAAACACTGAATCGCATTTGGACGGTGTCAGTGTCGAATCTCAAATGGGAACAGAGAATATTCTTGAAACTAATGCAGTTTTCTCCATGTTGGTCATCGGTATCGTCTCCACACTGTTCACAATGCATTTTGTCTTCCAATAGGGCATAATCAGATTCCTCCATTGTACGTTTGACTTCTCCGTTGACCATGAAGTACCGACG